TTGGGCGTCTTTGGGGGTCTCTTGGGGGGCTTCCGAGGGTATCTTGGGGGTCTCTCGGGGGCTTTTTGAAGGCCTCCTGGAAGCCTCTTGGGGCGTCGTGGGTCGTCGTCGGGGCGTCTTGGGGGCTTCTAGGGGCCTACTGGGGCTATCTTCTGGGGAGGGGCGTCCAAGGCCAGTTCGATTTCCTCGTCGCGGGCCCCTTTTGGGGCCTTCTTGGGGTCTCGTGGTTCTCCCTGGGGGCTGCTGGGAGTCTTGGGAGCCGTCTCGGAGGGGAAAACCGACATCGCCAGGTCGAGTTCCCCTCTTGCGGTCCTCTTGAGGCCCTCTTGGGGGCCTCTAGGGCCGCCTCGGATTTTCAGAAGCCCAGAAAGGAGAGTATGGCAAAACCTTTCAGAGGCAATCGATTTGTTGTGCCTCGTGAAGGTCTCCGGGGCGCCCTCGTGGAGCTTTCTTGGAGGCTTCTTGGAGCCTCTTAGGGCATCTAGGGGGATCTTGTAGCCTTGGGGCGCTCATTATGTTGTCTCTGGAATGGCTTCAACGTTTGTCAGCTTCCTCGGCGCTTCCTTCTGCTGTCTTGGAGCCGTCTGGATGCCGAAGACCGTGCCGAAAAACAAATCCAGCGGGCGGCGACTTTCAGAGCATGCGCGCGCCGATTGGGATGGGGGCCAGCCCGAGAAACCTTACATAAGCCCTTTGCGAGGCAATCGTCGGAGCGTTCTAACACGCTCCAGCGTGCCGCTTGGACCGTGGCGGATCATAGTATAGCACGGCATGGCACAGCAACGCATACCATACCATAGTTCAGCTTATTATACCCCTGCATTGCATAGCATATTCTAACATAGCAGGACATATCATGTATACCTAAGTACATTTCAATGTCAACGCCCCTCGGACCAGATCGCAGCATATCACGACACATGCTAACACATAGCTGTATGTCATAACGCTGCATACTGAAGCCCATAACCTTGAAGCAATGCAACACAACACGTTGCCCTGGCTTGCGCTGCGTAATGCAGCATGACACAGCGCGGCATAACCCAGCGTCTCATCGTATAACAAGACTCGATGTAGCACAGCACGTCGCGGTTTTCAGCTTGCCGTCGGCAGCAAGATGATCATATTTGGGGTCCCGTCTGGTTCATGCCCTCATGGGTTGATTTCAAAAGTTCCGGCGGTCGGTCTTACATTGGGGCCCAGCCATGACATGGGCTCCGCGACAGTGGGCCGCGGAGTCCGGCAGACCACCGGGGGGCGGAGGACTGGGGGAGGTGAATCGAGCTCCAATGGCCTGTTTGATAGGTGGGGTTCGTTGTCCGATAGGCAGTGGTTGGGCCAGGCGGGGGGATGGCATTGAGCGCCGATCGCCAATTTGACAGTGTGGTCCAAGTGGGTCGCGAGTCGTGGGGTGGCCCAGCCTGGAGGGGCGACGCTGAGCCACGATAGCCCGTGTGACATGGTGGCCCCAATGTCAAACCGGCGATTGGGGGGCCTGGCTGGGGCGGCGGATTGGCCATTTGACAAGGTGGTCCCTGCTGCCCACCGGGCAATCGGGGGGCGGGGCCGGGGCGGGGGAATGGAGCTTGGACTGCCTCTCTGCTACTGGGGCTGCAGCGTCAGCTCGGCGAGGACGGGCCCGGCGGCTGCCTGGCGCCCAAGGGCTGCTCAGTTGGCAAGGAGTCCCCGCTGCCAGATGTGCAGTCGATGGGGACGGGGTCTGGCCTTAAGTCGGGCCTGTCCCTCTACAGGGGGAACATTCAAAAATAGTCAAGAAATAGTCTTGGGACGATTTTTTTGACCATGTTTGATTATTTTACGGTATTTTTTGACTACTCTCCACTCGTTTAAACTAGATATCAGATTACGACCTAGTTTAGCCGAGATCTATTTTCACCGAGTCTAGTTTTACCGAGTTGGGACCTGAATGCTAAGCACAACGTTCTGTATGTCTGGGGTCAGTCCAGGGTCAGTCTGGTGTAAGTCCAGGGTCAGTCCGAAGTCGGTCCGGGGTCAGGGGTATAGGTCAGTGCGGGGTCAGTGCGGGGTCAGTCCGGGGTCAGTCCGGGGTCAGTCCGGGGTCAGTCCGGGGTCAGTCCGGGGTCAGTCCGGGGTCAGTCCGGGGTCAGTCCGAGGTCAGTCCGGGGTCAGTCAGTCCGGGGTCAGTCCGGGGTCAGTCCGGGTCAGTCAGTCCGGGGTCAGTCCGGGGTCAGTCCGGGGTCAGTCCGGGGTCAGTCCGGGGTCAGTCAGTCCGGGGTCAGTCCGGGGTCAGTCCGGGGTCAGTCCGGGGTCAGTCCGGGGTCAGTCAAGTCAGTCCGGGGTCAGTCCGGGGTCAGTCCGGGGTCAGTCCGGGGTCAGTCCGGGGTCAGTCCGGGGTCAGTCCGGGGTCAGTCCGGGGTCAGTCCAGTCAGGGGTCAGTCCGGGGTCAGTCCGGGGTCAGTCAGTCAGTCCGGGGTCAGTCCGGGGTCAGTCCGGGGTCAGTCCGGGGTCAGTCCGGGGTCAGTCCGGGGTCAGTCCGGGGTCAGTCCGGGGGTCAGTCCGGGGTCAGTCCGGGGTCAGTCCGGGGTCAGTCCGGGGTCAGTCCGGGGTCAGTCCGGGGTCAGTCCGGGGTCAGTCCGGGGTCAGTCCGGGGCCAGTCCGGGGCCAGTCCGGGGGTCAGTCCGGGGTCAGTCCGGGGTCAGTCCGGGGTCAGTCCGGGGTCAGTCCAGTCCGGGGCCAGTCCGGGGGTCAGTCCAGTCCGGGTCAGTCCGGGGTCAGTCCGGGGTCAGTCCGGGGTCAGTCCGGGGTCAGGTCAGTCGGGGTCAGTCCAGGGGTCAGTCCGGGGTCAGTCCGGGGTCAGTCCGGGGTCAGTCCGGGGTCAGTCCGGGGTCAGTCCAGGGGTCAGTCCGGGGTCAGTCCGGGGTCAGTCCGGGGTCAGTCCGGGGTCAGTCCGGGGTCAGTCCGGGGTCAGTCCGGGGTCAGTCCGGGGTCAGTCCGGGGTCAGTCCGGGGTCAGTCCGGGATCAGTCCGGGGTCAGTCCGGGGTCAGTCCGGGAACAGTCTACTCCGGGGTCAGTCGGGTCCGGGGCCAGTCTGAGCTCCGTGCGGGGTCCGTTTGGGCCGGGGTCAGTCCAGGGTCGGATCCGGGGTCTGCCTGAGGTCTGTCCGGGGTCTGTCCGGAGTCAGTCTGGGGCCAGCCTGCAGTCCAGACTGACCGTGGATAGTCCTGGATCCCGGAGTG